CCATAGGGTTTCCAAGGAGTGGCTGGTGGATTTGAACTACTGACCTTTTGGTTAACAGCTGTGGCTCTTAACCACTACACCATCAGGGCTCCATAGCACTCCAGGAGAGGGTAAAAAAATCTGTAGAGTAAGCCAGAATACATAACTGTTTTGGACAATCCAAGTACAAGCAAGCTAACTGTGAGCTTCTAGGGAATTTGGTTGAGTTTCATATTGTAGGGCTGCATGTTTTCGGAGATGCTATGGAGAAGGAGGGCGAGTAATAGGCTGAGAACCCGCACTAGGAGGGTGCTTTGCTATGACAAAATAAAAAATCTTGCTTTAGTGTAAATGTCTACCACAGAATAGAAAAGCAGGACTGAGTTCTCCGAAGCGGTTTAGAAAAGCCACTTGGTCATCAGAGGTTGTGGAACAATGCTAAGCAGTAGCTTCCGTCTCTCTACTCCATCTGCGTTCCAGCACACAGCTGAATGAATTCCAGATTCCACTGGTGCAAGAGACCTAGGCGGAGCTGTATGGAATTGTTCCTTCTAGTTGTCTCTGGTGACGGTCAGACTGTAAGAATGAGCTGGGATTGGAACCAAATAGTACAGGTACTAACCACAGGAGATATGACTCATTTAAATCTGTATTTCAATTTACAAAAAAAAAATACATATTTATTAGCTGTGCACACTACTGAAGAACACATCTGTTGTGTAAATGGAGGAACACCATGTTTTTAGCAGCAGTTTGTGGGCACTACCGGCTTTAAACACCACATAACTGTCGAGAATGAACATCATTTATCTAAGCTACCTAGCGCCATCATTGCTCAAGTTACTCTGATGACTCCTACCTGGTGCTGCTGAGGGGAGAAAAACACACTGTGGAGTTAACCAAAGAGACACGGTGAAAGAAGAGAGACATCCAATAAAAGAAGAGAGACATCAAAGCGGCCAAATTACATTGAAAAATGTGAAAACTGAGCCAGTTACTGGAACAAAGATAGAATATTAACAGGTGGTGTCTTCCCCTGGCGCACGTAAGTGACTCTCATTACTGATAATGGAAGCTCTGTGAGCATTCCAGGAAGAATCTGTTTCTGAGTAATGTACTTGGGGGAGAGGCTGGGAGCAATAGCTAGAATAGTATATGAAGGTGGAAGTATAAACAAGTAAAGATTAATTAAGAACGGTTTTTGGAATTTGACCTAATGGAAGCCATCAGTAAGAACTTCCATCTTCTTAGGGTCTTTACATTATTAGGCCCAACCAAGAAAACAAACTGCTCATTGCAGATCTTTCTCTCCTCACATGTTCCCCATGCATAGTTGTGATATTTATGTATAAAAATACATAAGACTAGTGTGGGAATGTTGCGTGGATTTGTCTTTAAAAACATGGCCTTTGGAGGCAGCAGACCTGACTCTGAGGTTTGCTCTTGCACTTTTAGCAGTAAGCCTCAGTTTCTTATCTGTAAAATCAGAATAATAGTACTTACCCTAAAACCTGTTCTGAGGAATAGAAGAGATAACATTGTACTGAAGGTAGCTAGTGTACAGGAAGTGTTTTCTAAATGTTCAATATTATAATTATTTAGTGATTGGGGGGAAAAAGGCTTTACTTTGATCAGAAAGGCCAGAACTCATTTAAGATTGAGGTGAGTCCTAAGCAGAAAACAAAAGAAGAAAAAATTGATTTTTCAAATCACTGTATGAGCTTCAAATTCTTGCTCTAGATTCGTATCCTAGTACAGTCTCATTGAGCATGAGCAAAGTATAGAAAAACCAGTAATAAACCACATGTTAGTCATTGAAACATTTAAAACACAGCTGAACACACAGTGTTTAATTACATAGCATGCATCCCTTAGCTTGACTAAAACACTTACCCTTCCAAGCTAGGGCAACAACACAGCAGACAAACCGTCGTGACTAACATTTAAGCTCAATGCAGACATGTTCTGTCTTCAATAATGTGTATACAACATTGAGATTGGTATAATTTGTGCACGTGAACTGGGCATTTAGCATCCCTTTTTGTCTAGTGAGAGGAGGGGACCCTTTCTCCCCTAATGTGCAAAGTTCGGATTACCATTTCTCACATATAACAATCTGTTTCCAATCTGGGATGCCCGCTGAATTGTGAACTGAAGGTCCTGAAATTGTCTCCCAGGAGTTCTGAGATCAGGGTCTTTCTGAGGCCGATGGGGACCAAGACCTGGTGGCAAGAGCAGGTCCCCATGCTCAGCCTGGCGTTCAGCACAGAGCGATTATAAGGACTGGAATAGGAAGTCACATCAACTTAAACCATGGGCAAAGAGATCCAATTATTTCTAGATGTTTGTGTAAAATGGCTAGTGCCTTGGCAAAAATGGTTAGTGCTTGGCTGCTAACCAAAAGGTTGGCACCCAGAGGTGGCATAAAGATCTACTTCCAGAACATCAGCCGCTGGAAACCCTATGGAGTACAGCTCTACCGTTCTACACATCGGGTTGCCATGAGTTGGAATCCACTCCATGGCAACTGTGTGTGTGGGTGTGTGGATGTGTGTGTGTGTGGGTGTATATATGTGTTTTAATGCAAGGTTGCGAGTTTGCTAATACTGAGGACTACCCGGCCAACTGAGTGACCCCCTACTCCGCTTTTTTTCTTGAGATTTTGGTATCAGGCTGGCATAGACTGAGAGCACCATTCACAACTCTTTCTCATCAGCAGTGTCTTGGGCTCCTGCTTTGTCCTTCAGAGCCCAGGCTCTCGTCTTGTTAGTCTGACGTTGTGTTCTGACCTCTCTGACAGCTTCTGGTCTCTGGCATGCCCTCTGTCTAGTCTCTCCTTTTATCAATAACTTTCACCCTTCTGCTCAGCTCTGACTAGCTCACTGATTTGCGATCTGGTCACAATGGCATTACTCTGTCCGATGGAAGATCTTGTCTTATTCGCTAGTGCCTCTCTTTTAGCCCATGGCATTGATTTGGTTTCTTGCACTTTCATTTTGCTTTTACTCCTATTCTGATTACATGTTTAAAATACCTGCATTGGATCAGGGTCAAGCAGCTCTCCTAGTTTAGAGAGAATACTATGAACCATACCTTAAGTGTTTAAAGCCATTTATGATTTTACAGAGCGTCTTCACACACAGTATTTTATTTGATCCTCACAACAACCCTGTGAGGTAGGTGTTAAGATGTCCATTTTACAGGGGAAGGAATAGAAGCAGTGAGTTACAGATAGACATACTACTAGAATTCTTCTAGAACCTTAATGATGTGAACGTAGGGCTATGTGTTAAAAGGTGAAGAAAGGAGAGTTGTGAAGTACGTGATCTGTTAATCAGTACAGAGACACTCAAAAATCACATGGAATCTCACATTTTTCCTATTCTTTTTTTGGGGGGTTGCCTTTTCTTTCCTTTTTTCATTTTTCTCCCTTTGTTCACTACATGAGAATCTACCATTCTACTGAAATTTTTTCCCCCAGGATCTGTACCCACTACACAAAGTACAAAGAACTTTTTTGAGTCAAAAAGACATCAGCGTATTTTTTCATGCTCAAGATGTTTTACTTGAAATGGCCAGGTACTTCAAGGAAAAAAAAGTCTTGTTTTGCTCCAGTTTGTTAAACAAATTGTCCAAGCTCCATTTACCTCATTCTAAAACTTGGAAAAAAATACTCTGTACTTTGGAATACAAAGATAGGAAAGTAAAATAAACAAATCAAAATAAATAAGCTTTCTTAAAATTCTAAGGAATTCACAAATCTTTCTCCTTTCTGAACACCTATAGAGCTTGTTCTTCCCCCGATACAGCTCACTGTGGTACAACCGCTTGTTTACTTGCCTGTATTTCCTGTGGATGATTTGCTCTGTGAGATCAGAGATGATACTGGTCTTACTAGCGGTTATATGTTTAGTTTCCAGAGGTCCACAATGAAAGTAGTCTGAATGAGTGAATGAATAAATCTTTTTAGGCCATCCCTATCCCTGTGGGTGAATATGTTTTTGAATATAAAGAAAACACATAAAATCAGTAATCATGAGATTTCTCCTGGAATCCCATGTGTTACTAGGTGAGTGAATGGAAGAGAGCTATTGGCCTGTATTCTGGGGACTGGTTGGAGCATCTGTCAGCCAGTACATGGGAGGCGTCCAGGGTGAGGGATGATGGTGGTGGTGGAGTACTGGAGTCAGAAGAGATACGGACATGGGAGCAGGGGCCCACACAGCACCGAGGACCAAGAGAGGAAGTCATGCAGAAGCCAAAAAAGACTCGGGAACCAAGGTTGCTTGGTGGAGCCAAAAAGGGATCTTGGAAGTCAGATGTGCTGATGACTCATCCAGAGATGACGGGTCTTTTATTAAGATGGTAGCAGAGGGTGTCCCACCCAATCCACCTGATCTTAAAAGGGTCCTGCCCTAATATGATCAGGTCATGAGATGTACTGGTCCTGATACATACATAAAAGAGGAAATCAAAGATTATTTTGATTATATTTAAATCATGCCTCAAAAAAGTATATTAAAATTACATTCTTTAAATTTCATATTTTATATAAAATAAAATGTATATTAGTGTTAATTTTACATTAAGATTTATGTAGAGTTATATATTCTATATAAATTTTCACATATCAGAATTAATTCAAGATGTGGGGAATCAGCTACTTTCATATGGAATAAATTGGTACAATCTTTTTGGAGCCCTTGGAAGAATCTATCCAATTTTAAAATGCATATAACCCTTGAACTATTAATTTTACTTGGAGGAAATTCTCTATTAAAAAATATTCCCAGAAGATCATATATGGAAAATGTTGTATATAGTATTGTTTGTTAAAGCCAAACCAAATCAAACAAAAATCACTAAATGTTCATGACTAGGGGATTGAATGGATATACTGTGGTGACTATGGTATATCTGTATAATGCAATAATGTGTAACCGTTGAGCTATATGTACTAACATGGGCAGATTACTGACATATTAAGGAAAAAATGGACTATACTGTATAGATGATTATGTATATAATCCTTTCTCTTTTTCAAATACTGTTTAAAAAAAAAACCTGCTTCCATCGAGTCAATTCCAACTCATAGCAACCCTATAGGACAGAGTAGAACTGTCCCATAGGTTTTCCAAGGAGGGGCTGGTGGATTTGAACTGCCGACCTTTTGGTTAGCATCCTGAGCTCTTAACCACTGTGTGACCAGGGCTGCTATGTTATAGAGTTGTTATATTCTCTCCATTGGGGTTTGTGTGTGCGTATGGATGAAAATATGGAGACTATATACAAATATACCCAGAAATATATCTCTTATCTCTCTCTCAGAGTATGCACACACATATTCCCAAACAGTCATAAGGAAGTCTGTAACATAAAACATTTCTGAGCTTATCTGAAGAAAAAAAGGAAGTTCAAAGTGTTGGATAACCTCAGGTGACAGAAGACAGTGTGAGTGCTCAGTTTACTGACTAACAAGTACCCTCCCTTATTTGCCAAACTTGACCAGAGTCAACGTGAAGAAGCCCAGGAAAGCCCTAAGAAAAGGGAAAAGGAGATAAAGAAAAAGAACCAATAAAGGTAGAGGTAGAAATAAAGATGAAGACAGGTAAGAGAGAATTATAAGAGGAGCCCAACTGAAAAAAATCGGAGCGACAAAGAGGAACAAGAATAAGTGGAGCAGACAACAGTGACCACACTGAAGAACAAATGTACGCAAAGAAAAGAAAAGATATACCAATGTGACCATCAGCCTAGTCCTTCATAATAATAGTCATCATCCTTCTCAGCATTGAACAATGCTAAAACACTCTGAGATGGCATACACTTTGTAGAACACACTTGGTTGTTTAACTTGGGGGCAAACGCACATAGGCAACCGTTGTTGAAAGCGTCACTAGACTCTAACAGTTGGTATTCACAGCAATTACCCTAAGTTGTCTAAATGTGGTATCCACAGAATATTAGGCTAAACTAATTATTTTTGATAATGCAGAAAAAATTGGTACTGTATTTTTTTAAAAATAACAATTACAACTAGAAAAAGGGTTAAATTTTAAAAAGGAATCTGTGATATTAAAGATCTGTCTACAACGGACCCCTGATGGGCAAAGATCATGACCGCTGGGCTGAGTGTGTGCCTAGCTCCTATTGGGAATACAGGGAAGGAGCCCTTCGATTTGGAGGAGTTGTTTCTTTTCATAACCCTTTCATTGTATCCGTTTAGGTGTAGCCTAGGAACACAACTGACAGATGGCATGGCACACTGAAGACGTCCCGCCTAGTATTTGGTTTTTATAGCCCAGTTTACAGGTTCTCATCACAACATCACACTATGAGGCCCTGTTGAGAAATCTAGCAAAGTTTTGAAGCCCTAGGACATGAAATAGCACTTTTTCAAGTTTTTAGTGACACAGAACAAAATAAAACCCAGCCACCAAGGAATTAATCTGGAAGCTGGGAGCCTTGGCTATCCAAATTCCTACATACGAGGTTTAAGTGAGCTCAGTTAGTAGGTAAGAAGGCAGTAATTGTTTCTATTCATAAGCTTGATTTTTTCTTCAGTGGATTGAAATTGGCTTGAAAATGGTACAATTTTCTATATGGAATTTTTACAAAATAGTGCTCATCACAAAAAACAAAATACAAGTGTAATGAGACTCGCCATGTTGTATCATTTAATCTATTTGTGTTACTCCAATTAGTATGCTTTATCTTGGATAAAACTGCGGCTGGCTTCCATAGAATCTCTACTGATCAGTGCTGAAGTTTTCAACATTTGCCTCTAGTTCAGCCCACTGCTATCCCATATGTAGTCAAAAATGCACACAGAAAACAAGAACTATGAACTTACTCAGTGTGCTTCCACTTCCTTTTTCCCCTTTCTGGCCTTTTTGTCCAGAATTACCTTGGAAAGAAAAGTTAAAAAAAAATATATTACTTTACAGACTAAAATTAGGGCAAACATAATGCTTGTGTTAAATGCAGACAGAGCATCACAAGATAATCTAAAACATCGACTTATAACAATCTAGACATATTGAAATATGATGATGATGATGATGACAGCTATCATTTTTGAAGCCCTACTATGATGCTGGCATTGTGTTGGGTAGGTCGTGGCACACATTACCTCATATTATTTACAAGGGCATCACCCACTGCCATCAAGTCGATTCTGATCCACAGTGACACTGTAGGACAGAGTAGAACTTCCCCATAGGGTTTCTAAGGCTATAAATCTTTGCGGAAGCGGACTATCATATCTTTCTTCCAAATGGCAGCTGGTGGGTTCAAACTATCGACATTTAGGTTAGCAGCCCAACGGGACATTAAAAGTCCCTTTTTTCTACAGCAAATCGACTCGACGGCAACAGGTTTTTGTTTTTTTTTTCTTACAACAGGCAAAATTGAGTGTCCTGGGCAGAGCTGCAAAAAATGCAGAACAAAATTCTAACTCACGCACACACACAAAAAAAAAGACTAGACTTACTGGTAAAAAAAAAAAAAAATGAGGTGTAAGTAGTTTGTTTTGTGCTTAGTCATTTTCCTTTCCGCCTGTTCCTCGACTGTGCCCCCCACCCCCACCCCAAGTCCAGGAAGCTTAGTGCTTTCCATTTTGTAAATCCAGATAGAATGGTCCTAAACCATGGTCTTCTATTCCTGTTACAATTTATCTATCTCATTTCCTGGTTTTTTAGGAAAGAGTGTCCTGAACACTGGGCCGTGAATGAGTTACTGAGAACGCTGAGATCCTGGTTACCCCTGCCCTTGGGGAAGCTGTGGCCTGGTGGGACATCGGTTAGGCAAGCAGCTGCTAACTCTACTCTGAGTGTCCTATCGGGTTGCTGTGAGCCAGAATCGACTCGACAGCAATGGTTTTTTTGGTTTCTGAGAAGCTAAGAGGGATCTTGGGGCATGTAAGTCTCTAAAACCAAAAAACCCAAACCAGTTGCTGTGTAGTGGATTCCGATTCACAGTGACCCATGTGTTAGAGTAGAACTGCTCCATAGGATTTTCTTGGCTACAATCTTTATGGAAGCAGATCATCTTCAGGCCTTTCTTCCATGGCACCACTGGCTAGGTGGGCCCACTGAAAATTTTGGCCTTGAGAAACCTCATCCATTTACATAGGGATGTGGTGATCTTTTTATATGATTGCCATGCCTTCAAAAAGACAGGGGAATATGTCTAGAACCTTGGTCTTTGCTAAGGGCCTGCTACTTCACCCACAGTTCCATTTTTTAAAGAAGCCTCCAGGAGACAGTCCTTTAGTGCCGACATAAGATTTTAATGGTGACAGTTTCATCCCAGAGGAGTGGTGCTGCTCTTGGTTATTGATTCTCCTTCCAACTGTTGTCCAAGATCTATTGTGCAGTCATTACCTTCTTGGCGTAAATGTATGACTGATCCTAATGCTGTCTGTCTCTAGGTCAGAACCTTTGTTTAATGCTCTTGTTTTCCTCCAAGGAAATCACGAACCTGCAACTTTCCAGTCAAGAGCTCAGAGGATATTGTTTGAAAATGATGAACTTTGGAATAAAAATAATTTTAAAAAAGTTTTTGTCGCCACAACCCAGACAAACCAAAAGTTATAAATGCTCAGAATTGGCAGCACAAAAGGAAAGCTCTCTCCTGACTTGTATTGTGGCAGTCTGAACGCCCCCAGAAAATTGTGCCAAAGAGTTTAGAAAACAAATATACAATAAAAGTAAACACACACACATACACACAAAACAGCAAACTTCAGGTAACTATTTCGGATTGCAAACGAAGATAAATTTAATGTTCAAACAATCTGATAACATCACCATTTGGAAACTGAAAAAGAAAAAAAAAGTTTTTGTCTTGAATTATTTTCTCTGCCATTTACCAGGTATGTGGCTCAAGCTAAGTCTTTAAACCTTTCTGAGCTAAGGTTTACTCTTCAGTAAATGAAGAAAAAAAGGTCTTCCATTGCAAGGTTGCCTCAAAAATTAACAAAAATGTTCATAAAACACCGTCCATAAAAGTGATACATTTCAGAGGTGATAGATGTCATTATTAATATTTCTATTTTACAACATTTCCCAAAGCTTGGGTGAAACTTGCCCCCTTTGATTTTATTCTCAGTGAATGAGACTTCTGCAGCTCATTGACTTTTTATGGAACAATTAGTTTTAATTTTTTTTTAAAGCTGTAGTCTTTATTTTGGAGTTTCTTTGGGTTTCTCTAATTTGCTTTGCCCTCATCTGTGCTTTGTTTTTGAGCACGTGTCCTTACTCATGTCTTAGGCAAGACTTTTTGTCCCCTAATTAACCCAATTTAAAAAACATAATGTGTAATGAGTAGCATGAGTCTTCAGAAAGCACAGATTTTTCTCAACTGCAATTTTATTTTGAAGATTTAATAAGATGCCGGCCATTCCTTATCAGAGTATTATGAACAGACTGCCTCTAGTGCTTTGCATATATGATTAAACTTTACATTATTAAATTCACTTTTTAATTGTCGTGGAGTCATTTCAGGTACTGTTAAAGTAGCAAAAATAACTAGTCAGCACAGAATACCTTGAAATTTTCCTATATTTTTGATGCTATCTTTTTAGGAGGGATAGTACCAAAGTTTAAAATTTCTCAAAAGGTAAAGTTCAGTAGTTAAAAGATTTTTTAAAATTGTTCCTTTGGAATTAAAAAAAAGAAAAAATATGAATAAATAGGCTGAATTTGATCATTCCAGCATTAATTTCATAATTAGAAAAAAAGGAAGAGATCTTGCTTTATTCTTGAAAGTGTTTTCGCACAGGAATTTGTCTTGAATATTTTAAGAGTGGAATTGCTCAAGCCAAAACACTGAGCTCATGACCCACTGAAGGCCCTTATAATTCTCTGATGAATAAGAAAACTATTTTTACTTATTTATATTGTTTTCTTTTTCTTTTACCCGTGACTCTTAAATGTAGTAAAAGGATACTTTTTATCTCCTTCTTATTAAAAAACTAGACAAACACAAATATTTTATGTCATTTTAGCATGATTCAGAGACTTCCTTGAAGGTGATACCTGGAAATCTTTTTCCTCAAGCTTGAACACATCAAAAATGCCTTTTCGAGATCAGGAGTGTATTGCTCCTTTAGAATAATATCCTTGCTAAACACGAGCCCCAGAGCTTAGAGTCAAAACCTGGAGTTAACCATTTCCTGGCATATATGTCATTCTTCAACTAAAAATAAGGAACTGATATTTCTGAAAGTCACTGAAAAATGAGGAGTAGAGTAGTGTGTAATACACTGATATCTTAACTTTAAAAATTTTAAGGGGCAAAAAACATGTTTTCAATAGCATTATTATTATTATTACAAGAATTTTTAGAAATACTTCTATGAGCCAGATTCTAGGTTAGACACTTACATACATAGACCTCAATTAGGTCAACCCAAAATTTGTATCTCTAACCTTCCCCTCTTTTTCAGTTATTTCAGTTTAAGATATGATCATCTCCCTCCCAAACCTAATGCTTCTTCCTGTTCCCTGAATTCTTCACCTTCCTTCGTCTCATTAATCTTACCCATTTTCATGGAGTTGATTCTGACTCATAGTGACCCTATAGGAAAAAGTAGAATTGCCCCACAGGGTTTCCAAGGTGGTAAATCTTTATGAAAGCAGACTGCCACATCTTTTGCCTGTGGAGTGACTGGGTGGGTTCGAACTGCCGACCTTTCGATTAGCAGCCAAGTGCTAAACAACTGTGCCAGCAGGGCTCCTTTCATTAACCTTATGCTATCTTTTTTCTCCTTCTTTCCTCAACATCTTCAACCTCTCTTCTATTTTCTCTTTTCATCAACATTTAAATTATATTCAAGTCTCTCCTTCAAATAAAAAAATCCAAATCAAATGAAAAAACACAACAAACAAAAATCTCAACACTTTCTCCTCCTCTATCTAGGAAGATGGCTCAAGAGTTGGCTCTACCCCCATCTATAATCCTCCTCATCAGATCACCTCTCAGCATACTCCAATCTGGTTTCCATCCCACCCCACAGAAACAGCTCTCCAAGGCAACATCTCCATAGCAACAAATGCCAAGAGCTTTTTGGAGACTATCTTACTTGACCACCTTTTGAAATTCCTTCTCCCTTTGGCTTTTTTCCTGCCACGTTCTCCTAGTTTCTTCCAATCTGCTCCTTTGCCCTTACTATTCAGCCTGGACTTCTGAACTACTTACAGCTTTATCCTAGACTCCTTCTCTTCTCACCTTTGTCTCGGTCTCTACCCATGAAATGTTATAAAAATCACTGGTTTCCATGACGATTTATATGGTCATAGCTACAGCTTTGTCTCTCTATCCCTGGCCTCTCTTCTGAACTCCAACCCATATATTCAACTATCTGTGGATATCTGACAAAGAGGTGATCAGTAAATGTTTGCTGAATAAATAAATGAAAAATTTATGGTCTATAGTTTTAGCTACTTCTAAAAAAGCCCATAAGTCAGCCTTGGGTGGGAGGTGGGGGTATCAGAAGTGAATGGACTCCCAGAATCTGACCTGAGAGAAGCATGTTATTTACATGCTAAAAGATCTAGTTTAACAAGGTTCTATCCAGAGTTTTCTAGGGATTTTGAAGACATGCAAGGTAACACTTCAGTTAAATATTCAGAACTTTCTGAAGTTTCCTGAATATAACCAAATGCTTTGAGGGACAGAGTAGCACGGGCAGGGGTCTGGTGACAATGGTTTCAGGGGACAGCTAGGTGAATTGGCATAACAAAGTTTATTTAGAAAATGTTCTGCATCCCATTTTGGTGAGTGGGGTCTTAAAAGCTAGCAAGTGGCCATCTAAGATGTATCAAGTGATCCCAACCCACCTGGAGCAAAGGAGAATGAAGAACACCAAAGATACAAGGAAAATATTAGCCTAAGAGACAGAAA